CGTCTCCACAGGCCAGCCACGGCCGGTTGTTCCCGACGAATGGAGACAACAGGTCTTCAACGCTATTCATGGGCTGTCGCACCCTGACAAGAGGGCGTCTCAGAAGTTGGTGGCAGCGAAGTTCGTCTGGTACGGGCTGGAAAAGGATGTACGGAGGTGTGCCGGGACTTGTGGTGTGCCAGCGCTCCAAGGTGCACCCTCACACAAAGACTCCTTGAGCACAGTTCTCGGTTCCAGAAAGTAGGTTCGATCACGTGAATGTGGACTTGATAGGACCTTTGCCCACATCCTGTGGTTTTACACATCTCCTCACAATGGTAGACTGGACCCTGGACCACTGGACCCTGGACCTTCCTCCTGCCATGGCCCTGCTGACTCCCACTGTTAATATCTTTTTTATAATTACTCACATTACTATTTTTATCACCATTAATGCTCATTACTAACTTTGCTTCTTCACCGGAGTCTCTGTGCTTTCTCTCCTCACAGGTTTCCGTGGATCCTGGTGATACCTGGACCCTGGTCTTGCCTCCTGCCGTGGTTCTGTCATGTGCACTGAATGTGTTGTAACTCTGTAAATGTTGTTCATTCTGTACACATCTGTTGCACTTCTGTCCATCCTGGGAGAGGGGTCCCTCCTCTGTTGCTCTCCCTAAGATCTCTCCCTCTTTTCTTCCCGTTAAAGGGTTTTTGGGGGAGTTGTTCCTGTTCTGATGTGAGAGTCCTGGGACAGAGGATGTGTACAGATTGTAAAGCCCTCTGAGGCAAATTTGTGATTCGTGATTTTGGGCTATACAAAAATAAATTGAATTGAATTGAACCTGTCCCTACTGTTTTCAACAACTCCACAGAAGACACCTGGACAGCTCTGAGGCAGACCGTCAGATTTCACTCTGACGACGTAGCATGGCGCTAATTTATTATAAAGATATTTCATTTTATTTCATTTGATTGTGGTCAGGCTTCCTGGGGGGGCTCCCAACCCATCTTAGTTATGCTGGGATGTGAACTTCTGTTGACGTGAAGGTCCATCACAGGAGTATTCAATTAAAACTCAAAATAATCTCCTCGTGCAAAGGTCCGGATCATTACAATAATATCTAATTTGCGCTATTTAGTGCCATATATATAGTAACAACGTATGTGTGTAGTCAACAACTGTCAAATCAAATAAAGAAAGTACACTTCACTTATATTATAACAATTATTATTCTCAGTTTTCAAATTTAACTGGATGGATTATAAATAATGCATAGAAATACAAAAATAAATGTTCTCTCATTTCAAGTAAAATAAGGGCTCCATCTAAAAATAAAATACACAAAAGAGAACTCTTGAAAAACTTGCATCTTAAAAGAAAGTGCTTGATTTTAGAAAAATGAATGAAAATGAAAAAGGAAAGAGTTTGGCTGGAGTTAACTTATTTCTTCTGTTTCGTTAAATCCATTTCACATCATAACGGTCTCAGTCAACTTTATAATAAACTATCTCTACACATCTCAACATCTTGCCCTCAGTTCAGACTGGAGTGTTTGCTCAGAAGAGTTATGTTTGGTCTCGTGGTGGCGTTACACATCGGTGCGTTTAATATCGGCCACGGTATCTGAACACATGAGGCAGAGTGGTTTAGTAGCGCCAGCAGGAAGAATGAACAAATAAGAGTCCGTCCATTCTTTGTTAAAAGCTGCGTTTCCGAGGTCCACTCGCAGTGTGAAACTGCTTCTCCTACTGCTCTCTCTCTCCCCGTCTCTCGACTCACGATGCATTTTGGAATACACATATTCGATTGGCTGAGTAGCATCACGTGAGATGATTTACAACTCGTGTGGCCTAATTGGTCGGTGCGTTTCCTGGACTGCTGACCGAGAGCCGTAAAGGCTAGAAAAGCTGCGCAGGTTAAAATAGAAGCGCTCCTCCAAAATGTATAATTCTCAATTATCCATCAGTTATACGTCCGGGTCCGGATAGGACAGCATCTGGGTCCGGATCCGGACCGCGGTCCGCCTATTAGTGACCCCTGTTCTACAGTATTACATATGCTATTGTGAATATTTACTTTTCCTACTTTTAATATTGTTAACGCATTTAAACTTCTTTAGTCACTATCTAAGTCTGTCAAATGACTGTCCTTAAAGTCTGTCCGTATCTATTAAATGAACGACATTCATGTGACATCCTTCACTTTCACGCTGTTCTATATTTAAGACAGTTGGTGACAGCGATGTGCCCAACGTCAACATCTATCAACGTACCGAGGCCTTCCAGCTGACGCAATTAGCAGCAGTTGCAGGCCCCAAGTGCGGTTACCTGTAAGCCAGTCAGCTCGCCATCCTCCTGCTCCATGGGCTCTTCCTGGAGGAAGGCAGCGGGCAGGAAGAGGTTCCCCGGGACCAGCAGGGCCTGATGGGGCCACTTCCTCTGTCGGCCATCTTGCTCCCTCTGCCCGCCTGCCTTCAGCTTCCCCTCACAGAACAACAGCACCTGGTCTTTCTGGGAGTCGGAGGAATCGAGCAGCCACAGTGTTAGAATGTTTCCCTCTGGAGAGATTCAGACGATGTTAAGATCATGACGTGCTTAAATGTCCCTCCATGTTTTTGTTTGTTGGAGGGCTTTAAACAGTACAAAGTAAATATTACACTCACCTGTGCAGTAAGCGGGACTTCCAGGGCAGCAGTGTATTTGCAGGGAGTGGAGGCGGGGCCGGACTGCAATGTCCATGACTCGGGGATGGAGAAAGCGGTCTCCACTGTAACCTTCAGCAGGTTGGAGGCTGATAGTTCAGCCTCGGACAGCACTGGATTCAACACGCTGACACACACATCCAGGGTGGACTGATGGGGGGTCACAACCTGAGGCACATTCACGTTTTATTTATTAATTGTTTAATGACACTGTCTGGAAATGCCATTCAATTTGTTAAATGATGTAAAGTGTAAAGTGACAGAGGTTCACTGTCCTGAAGGTACTAAGTGCATTTCCAAACCCTGGAGGGAAAATATTCAGCCCTTTGGGTTTTTGTGGCCTAAAAACAGGCCATGTTTAGAGATTCCGTCACCTAGTCCGAGCGCAATAAATCACAGATTGTACAGACAGTGGTGAAACGTTTGGCAGGGACATCTAAGAAAGACCATGACAAGTTTTCAGTTCAGCACAGCCTTGGTGAAAAAAATCGAATGCCCGCCTTAAACACTAGGTGCAATAAAAGTCTTAAAACATATTGTGTTTAAAAAGTGGCCTCCTTATCATGTTCCATTTTCTGGTCTGAAATATCTTGGATTACAATGATTCTCGTCTTTTTTTTAACTATTTCTCTTGGTACTTATCTGCCAGATGTCCATACACTGCAGCCCACTGTGAGCAGGTGTGATTAGAGACCGTGACGTAGCAACGCCACGAGACCTTTTCCATGTGACAGTAAAAGGTGTCACTTGGTGACATGTTGGAGGTTTTGAGATCAACCCAAACTTTAACTGTACAAGCTCTGGTGAGTTGATGGGATTATACCTTCCTTGTCCACTTTGAAAGGACTTGGCTGGCCAACTGCTTAGTTCTGGCTCTAACTGCTGTGTCCACATTCGAGCTGCTCTGTGACTGAGGAACATTCACTGATTACAGAAATCTGGGAGGAACAACTTCCATCTGTTTCAGATCCAATCCACTAGCTCTCTGGGTGAACCAGTGGTGGGTGATAATCTTATCTCGTGGATGTAAATAGGACTTTTCTATAAAATAAAATCATACTGTGAAATGGTAAATGTCTTAATAGAGCAAGCATTAATAGATTAAATAAGCACATGTGAATGTCCGTTTTTGGCTAGTCCACTAAATAAATACAAGCAATATTAAAGACTTGGCTACAGTACCTCAGTAGATGAAGGTCTACAGATTGATAACTCTCCAGTGTCTCACTCTAAATATTATATTGCACAACCTTTAATTAAACCACTTTTCACCCCTTACATAGCAGAAAAAAATGTTTCAAATTATGGCAATGTCTGGCAGTTCATTGCAGGAATAGCCGGATCAATGGCGGATGTTAAGGGGCCTACAGAAAATAAACTAGCTGATGGGCCCCTACTGTGGTAAGTCCATTAAAATCATTTTATTAAGTATTAATAATTAATATGGACCGTATGAGCATCCGGCTCCTCTACATGACAAGGCCACAAAGAAGCACTGCCCTTAATAATGAGTGAGGGTATTATTATCGAGTCATTAACCAACCAACCTTGCAGAAGGAGTCCAGGGAGGACTCTGTGGCTGAGGAGGCCATCCCTGGATTCAGTGGGACTGTGGACGAGAAGCTGCACCGACCTGAAGACGGAAGAGAAAATCTCTCTGACCTCCACGTAAAAGAAACAGACATTTAAGGGAGATACAGCGGCGTGTTTTCAATCTAGACACATCCAGCTGTACCTTGTAGCAGCGGCAGCAGGTCGACCACAGCCTGGCCCAGCATCGCTGTCTTCGCCTCAACTTTCTTCTCCTCGGGCAGGAACTCCATCACCGTCACTGACCACAACAAAACCAACATTCATCAAACAGAGCTGTGAAAACTGAGATCTGTCAATGCAGGATATCTGATCAGGGGGAAAATGATAAACCTACTAATTATGCTAAAATAAATATCGCCATCATCAGACAACCAAATTGCAGCAAAAGTGAAATCTGGACATTTTAGATGTTGAAGGCTATTTAAGCCGGTTCTTCTGAAACGCAACGGCAACAATAAATGAAAGTAGTTAGCCAGTGTGACAATAACTTACAATAAAGCCACACGTTAAGGTTTTCTAATCTGTTTTGTCTGTAGGTTATCAGTGAGCAATGAAAGTGTTACATCTACTGTTAATATTAAGTTACTACGTTTAGAAGGCCATCTGTCTGTTGTCACCTGTCTGTGTCTGTCTGTCGTCACCTGTCTGTCTGTCTTGAAATTGCCGGTCGACCCTCATCTACCTGCATGCGTGTCTTTTATTGTTGTTTAGCTGTGTCTGACTGACTTATATATTTCACATACTCTGCATGCTTTTATGTTTTGTGCCTCTGACATGGATGTTCTTTAGTGTCTAACAATGCAACATAATATTGTTTTTAGTCCATGTTTTTATCTAACATATCCCTCATTTTATTTGCTTTGTGTGTGTTGAATTTGAGAGCCTCTGTGTTGTCAAACGAGAATTGACAAAAGTTGAAAGAAGAGATGGAGATAAATGTTTACACATGTCCGTGTCAGGCTGGTTATCTCCACTGTGAGATATCAGGACACACGGAACAACATGTACAGACACAGCTTACATATGATGGGTTTGTGGGCCATGTCACTGAGGGCCTGGGCGGTACTGGGGCAGTGGAAGCTGCAGGTGAAGTCGTAGTCAACGCGCTGCTCCGCTGGGTCCAGCTGCTTCTTCTCCGACTCTCCCAGCACATGTGTATCCACTTCAACCTGCACAAAACTCTGGAGGCCGCCCGTCTTTCCACCTTGCTGAAAAGAGAGGAAACAGAATATGGAATTAACATCCGGTGGATCCTAAAGTCCTGACCCGATGTTTGTATTCAACTACAGCGTACCAGGTTATTTCCACGGACGACGGTTATGTTGATCGTTTTATGGTTTGTTTCTGCGGTATTCTCAGCAGCCTCCATTGTGTTTAACGTCAGACTAATGATAAACTAATATTAAAGTTAGCGAGCCACCGGTTTGAGGCTCGGTTCTTCGTCTTCGGTTAGAGTCCCGTTTCCATGAAAACGACGCTACACATGGTGGTGCGTTCAGGTGGAATCTGATATTTCCCAACGGACTGACAGAACAGCAATAACTGTCCATCACAAAAAACAATCAAACATCAACTTAACTATGGGGTCAGATCATATCTTAACATCAGACTTCCGGTTATAAAGCACAATAGCAAAATCATTTCTGCTTTTATTGTTGCATTGCCTTTGCATGATCTTACTGCAGCGACCATTTGAAAGATTCTGCCTTTTTAAGTTTCTTTTTTATTCAACAGTGAAAGCTATTCAAGAACAATTACACATATTATTATTATTTTCACTCCAGTGATAACATGTTGCTGTAATTTTCTCTTATTGTGTTGGATCAAGGTAAGAAATAATAGAGTCTGTCCTGCTGTTTTCACTCTTTATTCACTTCATGCACAGCAGTATTTCTCCTGCCACTGTATTCAGGAAAATGTTTATATTGTTACTCTGTAATAGTGCTACAGGGGCAGCAGGGGTCACTGCTCTCAAGGCAAACTTTACTGGTGGTGGTGCAACAGCTCATAGTGGGGAAAAAAGAAGAATGTAATATTGTGTGTGATCCTCGAAGGCCCTGCATGGCGACCTATTTTCTCAGTCAGCTTCTTAATATGAGTGATGCGGTCCCAATGTAAATTAAACACAACATTTTCTGCAAGTTAGAGCATATTTAGATATTTCTAATGAGAGATTTGTGTGAGCTATTCTCAGTGGTGTGCAGTAGCTCAGTAGGAATAATGATTATTTCATGTACTTTTGAGCAACTTGAATAAAAATGGAAACAACTTCAGCACACTATCGCACATAGAACTGGTTTATTAATTTCAATGAAGCCTTCAATACCTTCAGCAGGTAATGAACATCTGTATTCACCCTGGTGACCAGAAAGTCGTTATTAGGGGTTAGGGGGGGCTATCTGAATTATTTAGATCTTCTTCCATTATTTTACAAGGAGTCATCTGAACCGGAACTCTTGTAATCTGTGATTTACCTGCAACATAGACTATTTCCTGTAACCTCTTCTTCACTGATCTGAACTGTTTTTGTTTGTTTGTGTTGTTATTTGTTTGTTTTATTATTTTTGTTCTTGCGGAAAATAAGAAAATCCAACAATGTATTATTTTTAAAAATAACACAGAGGGATATTGCTACTTTTACCTCAGCGAACAATGTCTCAAATCCATTGTTATTGTTGTTGTTCTTTGTGTTCATATATATACTTTTGGATATATATTTATATTTATATTGTACATAGTGGTTAAATGTTTATGCTTACCTCTGTTATACTTTGTTGTCTTTAATGTCCTTGTTTTTATTTGTTATATTTTTCTTGTTTATTTGTATATTCTGTTTGTACGTTGAAAGCAACGTGAAAACCGGAGTCAAATTCCTTGTATGCGTACACATACATGCCCAATAAAGCTGATTCTGATTCTGATATGAGCTCACTTATTTCACTGCTGAATGTATTCTAGTTAAAAGTACAACATTTCACTCTGATTCGTAGTGGAATAGCAGTATAAAGTTGCAGAAAATAACAACAATCAAGTTAAGTACCTCAGAAGTATACTTAAATACATTACACTTTGTTACTTTCCACCACTAGTCGTTTTAACCATTGCGACCAACCGGCCTCCGAGACACCAGGGGGCGCTCTACCTCCAGCTTCCGCTTCCGGTCTACGCTCCATGCTCAAAACAGATCCGCTAACTACTTCCGGAAGTTTTTTATTATCAATGATTTTGTCACTTGAGCGAGATTAAAAAACACACACTACTCTGGTGTTTGTCTTTTGTTGTTGTCAAAAGAAAAATGTCGTACAACTACGTGGTAACAGCGCAGAAACCTACGGCGGTGAACGCCTGCGTCACAGGTAAGAAATATATCCGCTGTTTGTTGTTTTTTTCTTCTTCTTCAGTGAACGTTTTTCCACCTGCGCGTGCTATCTGAGCTCCCGCGCTACCAGCAAAGTGCTCCAGAAAGGGGGCCTGTAGTAGCCGCTAGCTGTTGTTACGCTAACTCCAAATGTTTACGTGCTTGTTTAGGAATAACTTGTCTGCACGAAGTCACGACACGCATCTATTTTTTACTTAATGTGATGTCTGTTCTAACGCACACGGTTGGAACCGTTAGCTGGTTCTTCTTATTTAGCAATTAGACGTTAGCTGTTGTCGTGTTTCTTTCAGGTTAAAATGCTTATTTTTTTACTCTCTGGCTGACAAACATGACCGTGAAACGTGCAGACAGAGTGCATTCTGGGACATAAAGACACGTGAAGACAAACTGATGCTGAAATCACAGATTTTAGTGTTTATTTATTTAATCACATCACACCTCTCACCATGAACACCTGACATTCATCTTTTAATTTGACATGTATATAGTGTCTACCTATAATTCTAAAGAGGCTGTTATTGTATATATCTATTGTACACATTATTTAAATGTATTTATGTATTTTTTACCCCACTTATTAATATTCCTTTTTCAGTACATGTGTAAAAGTGTGTACATGCAGGAGGATATATGTGTTGGTATGCTGAGTGTGTATGTTGGTGGCTATGTTTATGTAAATGCATATATCTCTGTGTATGTATGCATGTGTTTGTAGGTGCACATATGTTTAGATATGTTCTTGCTACTAGCTAAACTAGTATTACTGCTATTATTTTGATCATGTGCCTTGTTTTTAAAGGTCGTATGTCAGGGACTGTTGTTAGAAATGTAAAAATCCAATAAAAAGTCAAAAAGAGACTTCTAAAGAGGCCATTGGTTCTCATTACATCTCAACATGAAATGGATATAGATGGACAATATACAGATATTAAGTCTGCAGCTGTTAACTCATTTCAATAATTTCTTTAATTGAATGAAGAGTCAAAAGATGTTGAATAAGTAATAAATACCGATCAGTTATCAAAGCTCAGTCATATCTTAAATTTGCTTTTTTTGGTCTCACTATTGTATTTATACATTTTAAAAATGGCAAATGTGTGTGTTTTCATTGATAAGTGACTTTTAATGAATCACTACAATTTACCATGTAGTTGATTAATAAACTAGTTGTTTGAGCTTTTTCCTACCTTTCTCTGTTTTACATTATTATAGTGTTCTAGTAGTTAAAATACTTTTGTTTCTTTAACAAGAAACATGATTTTAAAACATCACGGCCAGGTAGGGCTCAGGTACTTTATTATGTTTTTAATGTTATGAGTAAATTCACCAACCACCAACCTTTCGGTTAACAGCCGAATGCGTTAACCAATTGCGACATCCCCCCACCCAGGGATGCCGCTCCTCCGCGAATCGCCACCTTAACGTGGTGGAGGAGTTTGAGTGGCTCAGTGATCCTGGGAGCTATGTTGTCCGGGGCATTAGCCCCTGGTAGGGTCTCCCAAGGCAAACAGGTCTCAGGGGAGAGCCCAGACTAAGAGCGGTTCAAAACGACCCCAATGAAAAGCAGCCCACAGACTTCAGTCACCTCGCCCGGACCAGGGAAACCGGGGCACCCTCCCGGAGCCAGACCCAGGAGGGGAGCTTGTCGGCGAGCGTCTGGGGCCGAGCCTTCGCCCATGGGGCCCGGTCGGGCTCAGCCCGAATAAACAGCATGGAGCAGCCACCCTGTGGACCCACCACCCGCAGGGATAAGCATCGGGGTCAGGTGCAATGCAGACCGGGCGGCGGGTCAGGCGGGAGGCCTGGGCGAGCCGATCGCCGGCAGCATAGACTAGCTCTAGGGACGTGGAACGTCACCTCGCTAGCGGGGAAAGAGCCGCACCTCCACACACAGCGCTGGCTCTGGAACCAAGCTCCTGGAGAGGGGTTGGACTTTGTCCTCTTCCGGAGTTGCCCAGGGTGAGAGGCGCCGGGCGGGGGTGGGGATACTCACGAGCCCCCGGCTGAGCGCCGCTGTGTTGGAGTTCTCCCCGGAGAACGAGAGGGTCGCCTCCATGCGCCTACGGGTTGCGGGGAGCAAGGCTCTGACTGTGGTTTGTGCTTATGCACCAAACAGCAGTTCAGAGTATCCGGCCTTCTTGGAGTCGGTGGGAGGGGTCCTGGAAAGGGCGCCTCCTACCGACTCCATAGTTCTCCTGGGGGACTTCAACGCTCACGTGGGCAATGACGGAGAAACCTGGCGGGGGGTGATTGGGAGGAACGGCTTGCCCGATCTGAACCCGAATGGTGTTTTGTTATTGGACTTCTGTGCGTGCCATGGTTTGGCCATAACGAACACCATGTTCGAACATAAGGTGGCTCATAAGTGTACCTGGTACCAGAACACCTTAGGCCGGAGATCAATGATCGACTTTGTAATCGTATCATTTGATTTGCGGCCGTATGTCTTGGACACTCGGGTGAAGAGAGGAGCAGAGCTGTCAACTGATCACCACCTGGTGGTGAGTTGGATCAGATGGCAGGGGAACCGGTTGGAAAGACCCGGCAAGCCCAAACGTGTAGTGAGGGTGAACTGGGAACGTCTGGCGGAAGACCCTGTCTGGGAGGTCTTTAACTCCCACCTCCGGAAGAACTTCTCACACATCCCGAGGGAGGTTGGGGACATGGAATCCGAATGGACCATGTTCAAAGCCTCTATTGTGGACGCGGCCGCTAGGAGCTGTGGCCGGAAGGTCATCGGTGCCTGTCGTGGCAGCAACCCGAGAACCCGGTGGTGGACACTGGAGGTGAGGGAAGCCGTCAAGCTGAAGAAGGAGACACCTTCAAGGCCTGGTCGGCCCAGGGGTCTCCCGAAGCAGCTGACAGGTACCGGCAGGCCAGAAGGGCTGCAGCTGCGGTGGTCGCGAATGCTAAAACTCGGGCATGGGAGGAGTTTGGGGAGGCCATGGAGAAGGACTTTCAGTTGGCCTCAAGGAGGTTCTGGCAAACCATCCGACGGCTCAGGAAGGGAAAGCAGGGCTTACCCCAGGCTGTTCTCAGCAGGGGGGGAGCTGCTGACCCGGACAGGGGACAT